GGTGGACTTTTTGAACCATTTTGATATTTTTTTAAAGAAAAACATTTGCCATCAACAACTTGTTGAACAAAAGATAATTGACTCCACATGTCATTGGCTGCATCAACCCTATCAAAAACACAACCTTTACGTATGAAAAGTCATCGACGTGCATATTCAACACTTCGCCATTTCATGTCCATATATATACCATAAAGATAATTAGATTCATTAGATATGATTGTATCATTTCCATTTGAATATGCCGATACGATCACACGACATTTGCGCGCATGACATTTGCGCGCCGACACTTGCGCGCCGACATTTTCGCGCACGACACTTGCGCGCACGACACTTACGCGCGTGACATTTGCGCGCAAAATGATTTCTTTTCATGAAATGAGTCTTCGTTTGGGTTTGAGTGTGATGATGGCGGAAGGTGAGTGTCACTGTGATGGGAGAGCAGCAGTTCAAGACAATCCTTCATGCATCTTCACTACCCTAGGGAAAATCTTTGATGTTTCTATGTCTGATCCTTAACGAATCCAATCAGGATCCTTCAAGAATTCGCTGTTTTTTTCCTGAGGAAACGACTAAATCCTGAAAGAAGCGTATAGCCACAGAATTTCCAGATTCTGGTAGGATTCCTAGCAGGATCCAATCAGAATTCTGAACAGATTCCATCCGAAGTGCATGAAATCTTGAAAGAATCATCTCTATTATTCCTGTAAAGATACTCAGCAGGATTAAGCTTGAATCCTTGTAGGATCCTGCATTCATGATTTCGAAAAATATCTTGATAGAAACCTGGATAGATCGTAAATAGGTCCCTGCCTAAACGTGCGAAGCCCAAGAAAAGTTAGCTCCGCATGTAAACCCCAAATTTGGTGATCAATTTTCTTCTCAATCCTTCTGTTATGATTTATAGCACCATCAAGAGTACTGGTAGCATTACCTTGGATGCCAGAGGCATTTCCTGGGATCCTACTAACATTGCCTAGGATGCTAATATCAATTCTCTCGGCTGCTATGGGCACCACCTGAGATGCTACACGCATTGCCTGGGATGCTATGAGCCCGACGCAAAATGCTACTAGCGTCGTAGGTAATGCCGCTGGCATCCAAGAAGATGCTTCTAGGATCCCCGGTAATGGCTCTAGCGTCTCAGGAAATGCTTCTAGCATCATAGAGAATGCCTTTAGCAACCTAGGAAATGCTTCTAGCATGAAGGAGGAGGCTTCTAGCATCACAGAGAATGCTAATGGGATTCCAGAGAATGCTACTAGCATCAAAGCGAATGCTTCTAACAGCCCAGGAAATGCTAACAGCAACCCAGGAAATACTTCAAGCATCCCACTGAATGCCACTAGCATCCCAGGGAACGCTACCAGCATCGCAGGTTATGGCTCTAGCATCTCAGGCGATGCTATTAGTATTCGAGGAAATGCCAGTAGCATCCCAGAAAATGCTACTAGCATTCTAGGTGGTGCTATGAACCATAGAGGGACTGAGAAGAAAATGAGCTCCAAATTTAGACTTTACGCAATTTGGAGTCTACGCAGTTTGGAGCTTACTTTTCTTGACCGCGTGCGAAACCCTGGAAAAACGAATTATCAAGAACTGCGGCAGGATCTTGAAGAAGACCTGACAAGATCCTTGAAGTCCAGGATCCTGAAAGATTCGTCCAGGATTTCTCAATGAATGGTCAGAAATGAGACTAGGGTAATACTTAACCCTCACACGCACAGCCAGCATCTATTTCCTAAGCCACATCCGTAGTCATATCCAACCCAGAACGAAGTCAAGCGCAGAAAAAAATCATTTTGCGCGCAAGTGTCGCACGCGTAAGTGTCGTGCGCGAAAATGTCGTTGCGCGAAAGTGCCGCTGCGCGGAAGAGTCGCGCGCGCAAGTGTCGGCGCGCAAGTGTTGGCGCGCAAATGTCACGCGCGCAAATGTCGTGCCACGGAACAATTATCTTATACTGTTCATATGGTAAGCAGAGATTATAAGTTGCTACATCTTTTTCTTTTTCTTTTATCGTTTCAGCAAGCCAAAGTATTACAAACATCACAACAAAATGATGAAGAGGATCTAATAATTGTAAGTGAAAATTTTAGGCAAAAGACTATGTTCAATTACCCTTTATTATGTTCCGCAAACTGGATGTTGCATAAAAATCTTAGGCACTGCAATATCTTTGACTATGGAAGAAAATTTTGAACTATTATCATCTCATTTTTTGTTTTTAGAAATTAAATGGAATCAATTTAGGTCATATCTCACGTGGTCCTTCATTAAATGCAACAGCTAGATCTTTAGTTCGTGCTGCATATGGTGAAAAAGCACCATTCAACGATTTGGCATCAAGAGAATCTGATCTTCTTTTGGGTAAGATGAATGAAACATTCAATCATTACTTTAGTATTTTAAATCTATATTTTCAGGTTTTCTTGCTCGAATTCATCAATTGAATGTTGCATCTGTCCTTGTAAATAGTCAATCAATCAAGAACTCTTTACAGCAAATGAAGCACGACGTCAAGAAGAAAAAACCTTCGATTAGATTATCCATTACTTTATCAAAACAAGGGGCTTCAACAACAATTCAACCATTATCATTATTGAATAACGACGAAGAAGATGATAACGACGGCGAGTTTTGAAATACAGATTTTTGGTGCTCGTTTTTTTCTTTATTTTTATTCAACTTTTGCTCTTAATGTGAAATTGATGTATATTTTTTATTACGTGTTGTTCACGTTTTTGCGTATTTATTTGAACCTGATAATAAAAATATGATAGTAACGAAAGAAAGCAAGCATATGGATGTGAAAACGCCTTATTTTTATCACAAGAATCAATCAGAAACATCAAGAAAAAGATTCAGGCAAGGATTCAAGAAAACAAGAGTCATGTAAGAGTTGTAAGAAAAAAGAATCAGACAAGAAGTCAAGAAAAAAAAAGAATCAGTCAAGAAGTCAAGAAAAAAAAAGAATCAGTCAAGAATATAAGAACACAAGAATCTTGTCAGAAGGTCAAGACCTGTTTTTTCAGGCAAGAATCTTGTGTGGAAGGAATGGCAAAAGAATCTTGGCTGATAACCAAGAAAAACAAGAATCTGGAAAGAACGATGTCAAGATCGTCGACTAGTGTATCATATACGATAGTTTCTTATTTCTTGGTCATTCTCAAACAAAAAAATAAAAATAAAATCGAAGAAAGTCAATTACAGAAATGGTGAATCGTGGTTAATAAGAAAGAAAAACAAAAAAAGATAATAATAGGAGAATACGGATAATATATGAAATAGAATGAATAAACAATACTTCCCATAATATTCATTAGCAAAAATACACTACTCTCTAGTCGTTTTCTGTTTGACATATTTTTTTTGTTGTTGAATAAGACGAAAAATAATAAAGTTTGTTGAATTGAGTTTGTTTGATAAAACATCTTTATGAGATCGATGCCATGAATTCTCCAATAGCATCGATAGCTTGTGCACATGCTTTTGGATAGACTCCTGTATCAACAAAAGTGTTGTTGGTGAAAGAAGTTTTTTTTCTAAACAACTTCTTACCGGGTAAAGGAAAAAACCTATGAAGAACACCTTTGATAAGTACAAGCTTGTTCTTTACACCAGCTTTATCAAGAAGTTCCTTATATGCTAAAAAAAGAAATCCAATTTGTATAAGCGGACATTTTTCTTTGTATATAAAGCAGCATGAACATACTATAACTATCATCTCGAACTGGGTCTAGTTCAGCGACAATCAATAAAGTTGGTGGTAACTTTTCGAGTGATGTATTGCGAAAGACGGATATTCGAGAATCGTTTATGTCAAATCCATCATTAAATGCATTCTTGATGCACCTGCAAAAAAAAAGATGAAGCAGTCGTATTTAAATATCAACTCGAACGTAGACTCTTCATACCAATCAACCAATTCAGGTGTGACAAAATATTGTTGATTTGTAAATTCCTTGAAAGATGGTGTTGCACAAGTGAAATCATACCAACCATAAACAAGAATCTATTAATTATTATCGAAAATAATCATGATCTCTTTTCGAATATACAACTAAAATTTATACTTGAAAATCAATGTCTTTCACCGTCTGACAAACAGATGTGCTAATCATAGCTCCAGCACTATCACCCACCACACCAACCTTAGCTGTTCGATCAACACCTAAATAAATAACCAAT